AGACATTGAATCCCATTTCAAATAGCATGCAAAGTAAAGAAAATAAGTTTAGAAATTGCAGAGCAACTCAGACTTTGAAAAAACAGATGGCGATTAAAAACACAGTTGTCCTAATATTTGGATAATTTAAAAGCCCTCAGAAGCTAGGGAATTAAGAGAAATAGTTCAACATAGGCTGAGTCATTTAGCATTTGATTTGAAAAGTCATGGGCCAGTAAGGAGGTCCCAGAATGTGATGAAAATGTGATAGGAAAGGATTTCAAGGAAAGAAATATGATCCTGGCGAGTGCCATCTGGAAATGGAGAACAACTCCAAATAGTAGAAAGAGGTGTCAGGAGGCCTGAATCCAAGACCTAGCTTAGCCACCTATTAGCTGGGTGCCCTTGCCCAGACTACCTAGCCTCTCTGAGCTCTTCTCCATAGTAAAGTTACAATAATGATAATACTTGCCTATGTACCTCACAGAGCTCTTTAGCAATCACAAATGAGGCAGAAAGGACCACGGTAAGGGCTGCAGTGCAAATCTTCCACTGACTGGTGGTGTGACTTAGGTGAGTCTTAGACCCCTCCTAAACTTTGATACCTTCCTCTGTAGGAATGCTAACACCTGCCTTAGTTGGTAGTTGTAAGGACTAAATGTGATGGAGTAAATCATAGCATCGTGCCTTTTGCATAGACAGCTCAGTAATCAGTAATTTTTATCATTAACATGACATGTTTGCAAACTTACAAGCTGTTCAATGCATAAAAATGAAAGATTATTGTAATATTTAGTGTGATATGACTTAACTGGGTAACAGATAAATGTTAAAAGAAAATGTAAGCAGAAAAATTAGAATAGAGGTGGTAAAGCACACAGTCCTTCATTATAAGGAAGGAACTTTGTAGATAAGGATATATGAGGGCTCAGGTTTTCACAAAATTAACTCCTGTTGGCTCAGCTAAGAGATGGTCATATAGATCTTTTTTAAGGATGAAAAACACTAGTGATGATCAATGGCTCTTGTCTGGTTGGATAAGGTATCTAGTGAGTGACTGTGAGAGTCAGCGATAATTCAGGTCTTATCTAACATCTCCAGAGCCACTGAGAGCAAGAGTAATTGGTACATTAATGAAATTTGTAAAGACACTCAGCGAACCTCCAGGGAGCCTCTTTAGAGTCGGAGAAACTCAGCCCAAGAATATCAGAAATAATGCAAAAGAGCCTGAAAAGTCCATGCACTTGTTCAGAAGATATTCCGTCCCAACCCTGTACAAGCACCTTGTTAGGCACCGAGTATGTAGATATGAAAGGCACGGTCCCTTTCCACACCAAGCTCACAGCCCAGTGACAGGTAAGATGGGGGAGACTGTATAATTCAGTGGGGTGGTTACAAGTGAGTTTGGGGGCTCCTAACCCAGGGGGTCAGAGAAGGTTCCCCCGTGGGGCAACACGCACGTGAGCAGGCTCGTCAGGGACCCAAGGCTGTTAGTCCCACGGAGGAGGAGGAGGAGGAGGAGGACGGGCTGTGTTCCAGGTGGAGGGAGCACCAGAGACAGGAACCCAGAAGCAGACCTGCAGGTCATTTAATCTGGTCCCGCAGGGGCAAGTGTGCTGGCCTCTTCAAGTTCAAAGATTCCTTTGTAATATCAACAAATGTCAGGCCCTACCACATTATAGAAGTGTGCCTTTAAAATCTCTTGCTTGAACAAAGCACGTGATGCTCCCCTCCGCCCAAAAGTTCTGTGGAGAATTTTATAACAGTTCTAAATGAATTTGTGTCTTATTAATACCAACAGTCTCTACAGGCATTTACATTTGAAAAACATTTACTGTGCTTTTAAATGAACTTGGGTATTTTATTCCCAACAGTATCTACTTACATTTTCATTTGAGAAATATCTACCTCATTTATGTGCAAAACTTAGATAGTTTTCATTGGAAACAGTCTTTGTTCATGCATATACTGATGACATCCTCACAATAACTGCCAACCCAGCCCAAGCCCACCCCTAGAGGTTTGATGCACCGTTAGCACTGGAGTGGGGCAGGGGCAGCGCTGGAGGCTGGGGAGGTGGCTGGAGCTCGGCCAGCTCGTCCGGGTTAAAGTGGATTAATTGGATGGGCGTTGGTGGAGAGTCTGAAGCAGTCACAGCAACAGATGGCTCTGTCAGTAACATGGCAGACACAGGGGAGGAAGGCCAGGCCAGGGGCGAGGAGGTAGATCAACAGGCATGTTCTGAACTAAAATAATAGCAGTGAACGGAGAGAAATGAGCATATGTGAAAAACATTCCAAGGTAGAATTGGTGGGAGTTAGTGACCAGACCTGGGTGGGACCTGAGGAAAAAGTCCTTGACTCGCAGCTTCCTGGCTTGGGTAACCCGATCGATGGCGGTACCAATGTGAAGATAAAAAGGCAGAGAAAAGGACAGGGTTTGAGGAGAAGATTTTGGCTCTGGACATAGTGACTTTGAAGTTCCTGTGGGACAGCTAAGTGGAGACAAGATGCGGAAGGATGCAGAAGAAGAAGGGTGGAGGAAGAGATAGAAGAAGGATGCAGGCTTGGGATACAGGTTTGGGAAGCATCAATGTGCAAAGCCCTGGGTGTGGGTAATAGCACCCAGGGGAAGTACGTGGTGTGGGAAGAGAAGAGGTCCAGGACCAAGCACCCGGCTCCTCAGCATCTGAGAAGCAGGTAGAGGGAACAGTGCCTCTGAAAAGGAAACAACACACAGAACTGAAGGAGGAAAACAGAGAGGGAGACACTGCTACCGTGGGAGCCAGGGAAGAGAGAGCTTTCAGAAAGCAGCCGTGAAACTCGTCAGCGCCACAGTACCAGGACCAAAAAGTTTTCCTACCCAGAATGACAATGAAAATAAGAACAATAGCAACAAAATGCCATCTCCCACTTACATGGCTTATTACGCTTTCAAAGCACTTTCACATCCTTTATTTCATTTCATTCGCACTGCGGCCTGTATAACCTATATTTCCACACGCACAGAAACAGCAGGAAGTGAGGTGAAGAGGTTTGCCAGAACCGGCTAGGAAGTTAGCTGCAGGCTCCCGGAATTAGACCCCAGTCCAGAGTTGTGATCATGCTCCCTGGTTCCACCCACACCTGAGTCAGCTTTTTAACCAACCAATAAAGAAATCAGAGTGGGGCCTGTTCCAGGATACCCACTTGTTATTAGTATGGAAATGAAAAGACTTGCTCTTTTCTTCTCACATGTTGTTCTGACTTCCCAGAACATAAAGATGGTGATACCCTAGGATCATCCGAATCTAACAGGCTGTCTCCTAACTCCTCGGGGGAGGGCTGGCACCTAACTCCACTTTTAGGAGGGACCACTGAAGGTTTTCAAGGAGAGGAATGATGTCAATTTAGCATGCTTTGGAAAGATTAATTCATATTTCTGAACTTGTATTTGATGGTGCATATGTCTGATTGTTGAATACTCACACCTCTTGGAGCCAAATTGTAAAAATACTGTGAAGACCTATCCTGGCTTCTTTGGCAACCGAACCCCCTCTCCTTACCCTGCCTTTCACTCCAGTGAGTAGGCTGTCTTCATCAGAGAGGGTGGCTTACATTTGGAGCAGAAGGTCCTTGCATATTTGATGAGGTCAGCACTGACCTTCAGATCTCCAGTCTCACACCCGCACCTTCCAGAGGCAGGCCTGACTCTCCATACAGGAGCCCCGCTCACTCATCACTCCTCAGTCCTACAACAGGAGTGGGGCTGCTCCTGGCCTGTCAGATCTGGACCCGGCCCAAACTGATCTGTGTGGGGCCGGGCCTGGAGCTGCCTCTCTGCCCACCTCTCCCCTGGGAGCAATTTCCACACACTTATCTCTGGGAGTTCATGGCTTTGTCGAGCAAGGGGTCTGATGATCTCTCTCTGAACCTGCCTGTCATTCACAGCACAGAAGGAACGCTGAACCAAGACCTCTGCATCTAGTTCTGACGGTTCATTCTCTGTACAGCTCAGATGGCATCACTGCAATGTTATCACGCTGGAGGCGGGGCAGGGCCTAGAAACCGTCGTCACTATAATGTTGATTTTCTGAAGGTGACTTACAGCCTTATTTCCAGCTGGTGGCCTGGTTCTGGCCTTTTCTACTGACCCATAAAACTGAGCTTCGGTCTGGGCACCACACACAGCTGTTGGAGTCACTCTCCATCAGGAGCAGCTGGGAGGTTGTCTGGATTTTGTACCACAGGCCAAGGATGGGCGATGAGCCGTTTCCCTTTGCTCTCTAAGTCCTTCTCTGGCCAAAAATGGCTGAGCCACAGGAAGAACAAAAGCAAGCAGAACAGGTGAACTGGGGTCACAGACGCCTGCTTTATCACCTACTGCATTAAGTCCCTAATGTGGAAACATCCATTAAATATTAGATATGAAAACTCATTCTCAGATTAGAGGAAGGAGGACTGTTGCATGTTTCTGTCCTCCTCCAGAACAGCCCAGATGAGTGACATGATGTCAGTTCTCTCATCTTGCAAAAAAATTAATGCAAGATGTTGGTTAATTAAGAAATTTCTGAAATCATCATAAGCCTATGCATCATTCCACAGGTAAAAACTCTTTAGGTAGAGGAGTCAAACTGAACTGCTCTTATGATTTAAAAAAAAAAATAGGCAAGGACACTTTTCAGCTTCTGCATCCCAGAGACATTTCACTTGTCTAAATAAATAAATGATGTGTTTCTGAAATTACACTACCGGTGTGCAGATCCAGGCTCCCAGAACTCCAAGCTGTACAGCCTTGGGCAGGTCACTTAACCACGCTCGATAGCATGGGATAGGGACAGTGTCTTCCTCAGAGCATTGCTGGGGTGTTTGCGGGTGTTGACAGAGTAAAGCATCCAGCTGAGAGCCTGGGCAGAGTAAGTGCCGTAAATGATAGCTGGGCACACATCAGACAGAGCGAGCCAGCCTGGGGCTGCTCAGGCTTCGCTGCAATGGCTTCCTTTGCTGCAATAAGGAGCCCCGTGCTGTCATTCCTCCCTGCAGGTCAGTGCAGCTGAATGGCCAGCCCTTAGTGATGGTGGACGACGGGACCCTCCCAGAACTGAAGCCCCGCCCCCTGCGGGCCGGCCGGACGTTGGTCATCCCTCCAGTCACCATGGGCTTCTATGTGGTCAAGAATGTCAACGCTTTGGCCTGCCGCTACCGATAAACCCCCTCACACTCCCAAGTCCCCAGCGGGCCCGCTGGACTGCTTTCCACTCTTCCACCCTAATGGTATCAGTTTTTTTCAGACGTCTTCTTAGCAACAAACCAGCCTCTGCTGCCCCATCCTGCTGGAATCAACATTGACTTGCTCTCCAAAGAGACAAATATCCCAGCGTGAGCTTAGTCTAGGTAGGTCACATTCACCCCAAAGGAAAATGTAGACATCATCTGTACCTACGTGAGCACAAAGGTACGTGTGTGGAGCCGTACGCGCCCCCAGACGTGCACCAGAGGAACAAGCCGGCAGCGCACGCCCAGGACAAATGAAACAGCTCCCCGTGACCCCGGTCACACAGCAGTGTACCTGCAGACCTAGCCCGTGGCGGCTGCCCTCAGCAGATGAGGGAGGAAAAACCCAGTGGCCCTTCAAAAGCCCAGTCCTCTTCTGACTCCTTTCCTTCTTCTGTTCCCTGCTGTTGCCCTGGGTTTCCTATCACCTCTCCTCCCACAGGGGAGCAAGTGGGTGAGTCAGTGCTAGCCTGCTGGGCGAGCTGTTTATGTAATTTCCTGGCTGATGTATGAGTGTGTGCATCTGGGTTTCTGACAGTGGCATCCATCACTGGCTATTCCTCTGGGAAGCGGGTGCTTCAAAAGTAAAATTGCAATCATACTCCAGGTTTTGTAAGAAGGTTGTATTCCTCTGTGAATCCAGATTCCCCCAGGGTTGGAATGGGAGTCAGGTAACAATATTCCTTGAGTGGAGAGCAATGTATTAGGCACCACAAAAAGCAATCATCATCTGTCATGTGGCTGCAAGGGAGAGAATTTCAGCACAAAGAGAAAGCTCACCCACCACCAAACACACACAACACACCCTCCCCACAACTGAACAAAGCAAACAATCGGACCTGCCTCAAATTTGAGAGAATATTAAGAGCTTGTTAGGGTAGGCCCTTAATGGTCTGGTTGACCAAAACCATTTTTTTAAATGGGTGTAAATCAAAGGTCATCACAGCTGTAAGACACAACTGAAGCTAACCTTTCTGCCTCTTCCCAAGTAGCTGAGTTCTCTGAACGGCTTGTACTAGGCAGAAATCTAATGTGGTCATGAAAGATGGCCAGGTCCGGGCTCTCCCAGGCCAGCTAATTTGAGCACAGAACAAAGTGTTCAGTTCACCACGTTGGAGGAGGGGGATCAGGGGGACCTGGAGACTGAGGTCTGATGGGGAAAGTGTGGAATGGTAGGTGGGAGGCGCCCAGGTTGGGCAGGGGGTATGGAGTGGTTTAAAGTTCATGATGAGGGCCTTCTGTATGACTCAGGAGATTTGTGTGGGTCTTTGCAAACAAGCGGCAACTGAAGTGACTCTTTTCGGTGGACATGATTTTCTTTTGCAGGATAAATGACACGACTGGTGCTCTTTTTTCAGGAAGAGCTATTAGACAGTGTCATAGGGTTCCAGCAGAGTGATACAACTTCTGTGATGTGAAAGGATGGAAATGGGGCAGGCGGCAAGGCGGCCGAGGCCAGAGGCCAGGGAGACTGCCTGTGGAGGAGCTGAGAAGCAGGGCCAAGTCTGCAGAGTGAGTGATAAGGAAGATTAGGAAGATTAGACAAGAGAGGAGGGAGCAGACTCTCAGCATGGAGAACTGGGGGCCTGGGAGTGGAGAGCTGATAAGCTCATTTTACATGTCGGGAGGAGAGCGGACTTGGTTTTGACAAGCTTATTATGAGGTAGAGGAGGCACAGCACAGAGGAGGTGTGTGCCTTGCAGAGCGGGAAGGGGCTGACCGAGGACCTGGCTGGACCCGTCAGCAGTGGCTCAGCCTGAGTCAGCTGGAGAGAGAGGAGCAGAGCCTGGCATGTCCCCGTCCCCATGAGGCTGCCCAGGGGTGCCCCTTTTCCCCAGAAGCTGGCACCTCCACCGAAGCTTCAGCTCTGGGAGGGAGAAAGGGAAGTGCCCAGACTGCAGGTGGAAAGACAGGGAAGAAGCAGTGAAGGAAAGTGAAGAAGAGAAAGGACAAGAGAAATGAGAGACGATGAGGTTGTTTCCCCTCACTTTTAAAGCTCTGTGCGGATATCGAAGTCTCTTCTACGTACTGTGCAGGTTGTGGGCCCCTCATGTTAGCAAGAGTAACCAGGGGTCCCCGGGCGGCTTCCGGGCTGGTTTGCTTTACATACACGGCAGCCCCCAGGGTGTTACTATTCTTACCCTCTTTTTTCCTCTGAGGCGTGGAGAGGGTCTGAAATTTGCTCAGAGTCCCCCAGGGGAGTGGGTTACTGAGCTAGGAATAGTCCAGAGCCAGTTCATTTAATTGCCCAGCTCAGTGACTGCCCAGCTCACAAACTCACCCCTTCCCTGCTTTGTAGGTTCTGCTAATTCAGTGCAGCCAGGACCTACAGCGCTCCGTTCAGACACATGCTCTGTGAATAAGTGTTGACTCTTCACCAAGTCTCGAAACTTGCAGAATACAGGCCGTCCCTGCTTCTTTTGTCTTTTGTATATTAAATGCTGCTCCTAAGAGGTTTAAGTTTTGGTTTTTGGCTTTGGGTTTGGGGTTTTCCTTTCCTAGTTAATAAAAAGGGAGAAAGGAATCAATGAAATTTGTCTTTGGAGTCCTAAGATTCTAACTGAAACTGCCTCATGGAAGAAGTATTTGTATTGTTCAAAGGGCACCAAGAAACTCACTAAAACTGCACATTCTGTAGGGATTTTAGTACAGGCCATCTGTCCTTGCTTTCTCATTTTGGGGTGAGGGGTAATTACTAAGTCAGCAGAGATCGCTCCTTATAAGGAATTCATCTATCACACTCCCCCAAAAGACAGCTTGTGGCAAATCTCAGCATCACGATGCACGTCAGGGGAGCAGCTTGCCGGGCTGGGCCCCAGGACAAAAGAGCTTATCTGTCGGCTTCCCCCATCAGATTTTTCCTCTGAAAACAAGATTTGGCCAAGATAGTCTAAAGACTTAAGAGCCACTTTATTTTAAACGAAAGAATGACCTTGCAGAAATGCTTCTCTGAACGCACAATAATGTATAATGAGAAGTTTGTGCCTTTTGTTGAGATAATTTTCTGCTCCTCCTGCCTCTAAGAATAATTTTCTTTCTCCTTTCCTATCGCGAAGACTCAGAACAAATTCTCATTGTTATTTGAAGAGAAAGTCTCAATTCGTCTAGTGCCCTGAAAAAGCTTGCAACTGGGGGATATTAGCATTATCTGCAACTGGTGAAAAGCTTGAAAACACCAGACCTGGGCTACAGTGAGACTAAGGCCTGGGATTCCCAGAAAAGCAATTCCCAAAGGCCACTCGCCATCTATAGCCCCAGCCCCTCCCCAGCAGTTGGGCAGTCCCCGAGGCAGAGGCAGATGGGCCGCAGGCCTGTTCTCTCCCACAGGGCAGAGGTCGATGGCAGATTCTGCCTGAGAGGCGCCTAGCTCTCAGCACCGGGGAGCCTCTGCAGTGGGGAGGACCCAGCAGGACTGGAAACTGCTGAGCAGCCACGTGGTCCGGGCCAGGCCCAGCATCTGCAGGTGTGCACTCAGGGTCCCTGTGTTTGGGATGGAGGCAGCTGCTGGATTCACCTTGGAAATCCAGTGAGAGCAGCTTTACTTCTGAAAACAAAATGGGAAGTGTTTAAGCTCTGCAGAAGCCAAGGTGAACCAGGTGGATGGCTCAGACAATAAAAACACTGGGACAGAGAAGGACTTTAAAATTTTGAAATATCAATAAAGCAAAAAATAAGAGATATGGCCTGGAGAAGGCAAGGGAAGAGGGGCATGTTTATGCCCCAGCCTTAGCGCTGCCCAGTGCTCTTTTCCACTCACTTCTCAGCAGTTCCACAGCCTCGCCTCTGCCAGCCATGCTGTCCCCAGCCCAGAGCCCGGGGAAATCTACTGCACTGAAAGGGAGTTAAGTTTTGATTGAAAAGTTTGCGATCTTTTCTGAGGATGTACCAGAATTGCAAATAAGATAGGAGTACTCAAAGAGAAACAGCTATTAAAAGGCCCAAGAGCATAAAAGTCCCTGGCTCTGAGTCCCAGTTTCTGTAACTGCTTTCCTAAGCCCGTCTCGGGTGGTGACTAGCTGGAGTGCTTGGAAGGACCAGAGCGGCATAACTGGGACTTGAACCCAGATCTGTAGGTGTCCAAAGCCTGCTCTCATTGCACTGTGCTCAGTCTTGTTGATTGGCCGTGGCCAACATTTTCCCACCTCTGTGTTGCCCACAGCTAACTTTCTTAAGTTCTGCGTGTGTCTACAGAGAGTACAAGCAGTGCCCTCGCCCAGGAGAGTTGATCTTGGGGTTTGGGGGCGCCGCCCAGCCGCTCTGACGACACAGGCGTGGTCAGTGTCATTACTCTTGGAGGAGTGCTTCGGAGCAACTGCGAGTAGTGAGTCGAGCTGTGGCCAGCCGTGGCGTAGAATTTGCATTCGGGCTCACCTCGGCCTACCAGCGGCCCTCCTGGTCTGCTCCTCTCCCCTGTTTTTCTGGAGAACAGTTTAAAGGGCCACTCCCAGGCACCACAGCTGATGGTTCTTGACGTTTCTGAGTCCCGGAGGTAAGTGGCAGAGCCAGTGGGCACCCCAACAGGCACTGCCTCTGAGCACTGCTTCCCCTCCCTCCACCACCCAGAGGTGTGGAAGTTTCTCTTCACCTTCCTAGACTAACTAATAAATCCATTACTTATTGCCCTAGGGTAGTGTTTGTAAATATCACTGTAAAACAAGAAAGCCAAAATACAGCAAAGCAGCTGCTTTGGCACCCACTTCCTTCCAAACCCCGGGGCAGCTCTCGGAGCCCAGGGAACATGTGGGAGGGGCTGACCAAGTTCCACCTGACCTGTTCAAGAATAAATCCTCCTGTCCTGTGCACCCAGCAGAGAAAAGGGGGCCCTTCTTTACAGCCCACATCGTGCATATTACTCTTCTAATTATTAGTCATGAAAATATTCTAGGATTCTTTTTCAAGCTGTAAATGTTATGTAATAAGTTATATTTTTGGAAGAAGCAAAAAGAAACCTTAGTTTTATTCATCTGGAAGTTGGCAAAATGAGTGCAGGAACACCTCCCGGGGAAACGTTCTCCGTGCAGGGGATTTTAACAGGTGTTAATATTTTCTTCCAGGGAACAGATTATATTAAGGTTTATATGAGCCTGGTGATGGCAGAGAGTTTGGGTCCATGAGGTAGCTATATTTTGAGGTAATGTTTTGTAAGTAATAAAATGTGGATACTCTAACTGTCTGTTCTCAGGGTGTTCTGTGGGGGGAGGGAGGCCACTATCGTTCATACTACACCTCGACCTTAAGACCAACTGCCTGATGAACTAACGTATGCTGGGGATCTTTGATTTCGTGGTGTGCTACCCTCTCCCTCCACCCACTCCTCCACAAGCATTGCTTCAAGTACTCCACGTGGAAATAAAATTGTATTATTCAAATTAGACGTCATTGACTATGTTAAAGTAACTGTTAGCTGCAATAACAGGTAAAAACCTTAACACAAAGTTTATTTCTTGCTAATAGATCATGTAAAGGCAAGTTGGTGGTAATGGGCTACAGTGGGCAGGGGTTCTGCTCCCTGGAGTCCTTTAGGGATCCAGACTGATGTAGGCTCTCTGCCATCTCCAGTACTTGGCTTCCAAGGACGCTATGGCAACAACCTGCAGCTGGCAGACAAGGAGAGACAGTATGCAAAGTCATATGGGAGTATTTTAGGGGCCTAACCTGGAACTGGCATAAATTCCTTCCACTTAATTCCTTCGGCAGTAAGTCAGTCACTTGGTCCCATCAAATGTTGGGGGCCCAGGAAATGAAGCCTCTGGCTGGACAGCTACTTCCCAACAAAAATTATATTTCATTACTGTAGATAGAATATCTGGGGAGGATATAGCTCAAGTGGTAGAGTGCAAGCTTACCATGCATGAGGTCCTGGGTTCAATCCCCAGTACCTCCTCTAAATATAAATAAATATGTAAACCTAATTACCTCCTCCCCCCAAAAAAATTAAAAACAAGGGATTTTTTTAAATAAACATTAAAAAAATTAGATTGAATGTCTATGTCCCTCCCAAATTCATATGCTGAAACCTAATCCCCAATGTGATAGTATTTGGGGGTGGAGCCTCTGGGGGAGTGATTAGGTCGTAAGGGTGAAGCCCTCATGAATGACTCACAGACCTAAATGGCAAAACCTTAAACTATAAAACTTCTGGAAGAAAACACAGGAAAAAAATCTTTGTGATCTTAGCTTAGGCAAAGACTTTTTAGATAACACACAAAAAAAGCACAAAGATTTCTGTTCTTCGAAAGTCACTGTAAAGAAAATGAAAAGACAAACCCACAGATTGGCAAAAGTAAGTAAATAAAATAATAATAATGATAATTGTGCAACACAGATACCTAATAAAGGTTTTGTATCTAAATATATAAAGAAGTCATATAAATAACAGTAAGAAAAAAATCCAACTTTAAAATGGACAAATGATTTGAATGCTTTACCAGAGAAGAGATACAGACGGCATATAAGCACATGAAAAAAAAGTTCCACATCATTAGTCCATTTTCCAGGAAAATGGAAATTAAAACTTCAGTGAGCTACCACTGTATGCCTACTAGAATGGCTAACGTTAGCAAAGGCCAATATCAAGTGCCAAGGAGGCTACAAAGCAACTAAAACTCTCCGTATTGCTGGAAGGGATGTAAAATGGTGTATGCATGTTGGAAAACAGTTTAGCAGTTTAATATAAACTTAAACATACACTTGCATACAGCCTAGCCACCCCACTCCTAGGTATTTACCCAAGTGAAACAAAAATTATGTTGACACAAAAATCTGGACATAATTACAAACAGATAAACTGAATTACATCAAAGTTGAAAACTTTTGTGCTGCAAGTGATACCATTAAGAAAGTGAAAAGACAAACCACATAATAGGAGAAAATGTTTGCAAATCATATACCTAATAAGGGACTTGTGGGCAGAATATATAAAGAATACTTACAACTCAATGGTAATAAAATAATTATAAAACAAAGGGATTTGAATAAACATTTCTTCAAAGAAGATACACAAATGACCAAACAGCACACAAGACGTTGAACATCACTAGCCTCAGCATCAAATCAAAATCACAATGAGATATCACTTCTCACCCACTAGGATGGCTAAATAGACAGTAACAAATGTTGATGAAGATGTGGAGAAACTGGGACCTTCATATGTTGTTGGTGGGAAATGAAAACTACTAGTAGTGGGAATGAATAAACAGTAGCATATCCATTTGACAAAATTTATTCAACCACTGAAATTCATGCCGATGAAGGGTTGACACAGAACTGTGGTGAGTGAAAATAGCAGGATAGAGTGCTCAGCCAGATCTCACCTGTGGGCTGCAGAGAGAAATGCCTGTGGTGGGGATCTGTGCTGTAGATGGGGGGCTGGAAGGTCTTGGGCTTAAGAGAGGCTGGGAGGGGTGGGCAGTGAATGGGGAGGGGAGTGATGCTCCCTTTGTCTGCAAGTGGTGGAGGCATTAATTCTTGGCCCCTGCCTTACCCCAGGGGATGCTCAATCTGCTGTACCCCAGCCAGTTCCCTCCAACTCATCCCCTGCTGGGCTGCAGCTCAAAGCTCCCAGGTGGCACCAGGGCACCAAGGGTAGCTTGGGTGGGAATTTAGGCCTTTCCACGGTCTTCATCAACTCTCCCAACCTTCAGCCGCTACACACACACACACACACACACACACACACACAAAAGTTAAGAGAACTTAGCAAACACACGTTCAAAACAAAGGCCCTAATGTGCACCCCCACTGCCAAAATGAATTTAGATCCCTTATAAAGAAATTCCAGCCTTTGCACTCTGGGGATAACTGGGTCCTTCTGCAGACTGTGTCTCCTTCCAAGGAGCCCAGAGAAACAGTCACATATGGGCAGCTCCTGCCCCAGAACTGCAGCTTGGCAAGAAAAACTAGAGGGTTGTAAAGAGCCCAGCCAGAAGACCTGCGTTGTGATCCTAACTCGGTCCCTCACAAGTTCCTTCGTCTCTCTGGGCCTCAGTTTCCTCTTCTGTAAAACGCGGACGTTCCTAGTATGCCAGCGGGGAGTGGCGTGAGCTCAGGTAGGTGGCAGGGCCGAGAGCAGTGCCGGACGCAGCAGGTGACCTTGATGGCTGCGGGCGAGGCCCCGGACCCTGTGAGCCTCGGCGCCCCCTTTTGACGGGAAGAAATGTGGCCAAGGCCCGGAGGCAATTGGGGCTGGCTGGGCCAGGATACCAAGGGGGGAAAAACCGCACCGCGGGCGGAGGCGCAGCCAGGGAGGGGC